TTTTGACTTGAAAAAGAAAGGTCGTATTAGTCATCAAGGAGTATGCAAGATTGTTTAATCAGTACGCAAATAATAATCAGAATAGTCTTTAGTGAATCAAGTTGAGTCCTATGTACGTAGTGAATCAAGTTAATCAATTTAATACTACTATTAGACTAATTTAGTTAATTAGTTAGGTAGGCTAATTAAATCTCTTGGGATACGGTATTAGATACGATGTAACACGTGGTCAGATTTTGGTAAGTGATGAAATTGATGTTCCAAAAATTAGTAGCCGCCGGCCACCATTTTCAACGGCGGTCGTCACGCCACCGTCAAATGTTAGGCTCCCAAGTTTCACACTTTCCGGTTCATGTTGTTATCCCAACTTTTTGGAGTTTTTTCTTTTTCTTTTGTATTTATGTAGAATATTTTGAACTCAATTTTGGATTATGTTACTTGTTACTTCTATTAGATGTTAATATGATATATATGAAAAGGTTAATCCGTGAAATAACATGAAAATGACAATAAATTAGGAGACTGACATGTGTTTTTTGTTTCTTAATTGGAGTTGGTCTATTGAAATAAACTTCTTTGCACACAAAAGTAGAATGAAAAAGTTTTTGTTGATGTGTCATGTTTAAAATGAATGTAGTTATATTTTATTTTATGTAACCTTTAATTTGTAATATATCATTCATTAAATCTTCTAATTAAATCTCATTCAAAGAAAATAAGATATTTTTCGTCTCGTATATGTATAAAAAAATTAATATAAAATGATTAAGAAAATAATCAAATATTAAATTGCTCTATAATAATATATATATATAGACAAGTTAATGAGAATAATTAGATATTTTCATATGTAAAAATATAAAATAATTGCAAGGACTTGGAAATTAAATTACAAAAGCCTGAATAAATAATTGGTTTTCGTCTGAGACTTTTAGGTGACAAAAACAAATATTATTAAGATTTTGTCACTGTTTTTATCTGTAGAAAGTTAGAAACAATTGTAGGGGTCGGAATTTTCTCCTATGAGATCGATATAACGACGAGATCAACTCTGCACCGTCTTGACAAAATCGGATCCAGTCTACAAGGGGTCAGTCTGAATCTAGACCCAAAATGACATTAGACCCATAATCAAAATGAGTTTAATGAAATAATGGACCTAAATTATATATATTGTTTAATGGGCTAAGCCCATTTTATTAGCTGGCCCACTTACTTAACTCTATATATATCTCATTGTATTCACCCAAAAAAGGGCTTCATAACTTTTGGCAGAGAAACTCTCTTGTAATCACAGCTTGACAGAAATAGCAATAAAGAATTCTTATTCTCAGTCTTTGTTTTAAGTGAGTCCGCGACATAGAAATCTCTAATCCCCAAACACCCTTGACAAATTCAACTGTGCAGATCCGACTCCCACAGTTTGGCGCCGTCTAAGGGGACTTAGAGACTTTCTGACTCAAAGGAATCACTTCGTACACTAGATAAGGGAAGATGATCAGCAGCGACAACAGCAGTGGCAACAGCAGCGATGACTCCTCGGCGTCACAGCCAGACAAACGGCTGCCAAGCGCAGCCAGACAGGTGACGACGCTGTCAATGTCCCCGCGACGTATCCGACAGCCTTGAACGAGTTAAAAGACATGATGAAGATACTGCTCGAGAGGACAGCATATCATGAAGACAAGCTGAAGTCTCTTACAACGGCGAGCAAGGCTCGCAAGAAAATCACCAGGACCTGCGGACAGCGGCGGTCACTCAGACGGTTCGGGCCGCACACCCTCAGCTTTTCAACGCCGCACACTGCGCGAAAAACCCAGGGCGATCTACCACCACCGCCGCCGCTGCGGACAGTGAATCCAACTCCGAAGCAAGCCAACGCAACAACGGGCACATGACCAGCTACTTCGGGAAGGATCGCGCAGGAACGCCAAGCTCCTTACGCGTTCATTCTCGGAACAGGAGCATCGACGGAGATTCGCCCGTAAACCAAGAAGTTCATCAGAAAACCCAACAACTTAATCGTTGGTCATTACGTAATAATGTGCTCATTCTCGGAGCGTGGATGGAGGTTCGCACATAAACTAAGAAGTTCATCAGAAAACCCAACAACTTAATTGTTGGTCATTATGCAATAACGCGATCGTTTTCAAAGCGGATGCATCAACCCAGATTCGCCAACCGAAATGATCATCATAAAACTCAGCTAACTTATCGCTGGTCCCAACAACAATGTAGTCAATCTTTGAAAGTAGACCAATCAATAACAGCCTGTCTGAAAACTAGGACAAACATTGTCCGGACTTAAACGAGTAGTTTTAAAACGACAACATAGCTGGAGAAGGCTTGTCCATGATGACTCACCGACGAACCATGGTTGCACCAAAGTCAGTAAATATAAACAAGTCATTGGCTTGTCAAATAAGCAGTCAGGCTCATCAGCGCATCAGCGTCACGGGCTAAAGACTTAGCAACAAAACGGTCCATCCGAAAGACAAAAACGAGAATCATAAAAGCTATGTTCATAAATTCCATCTAAAAAACAATGACACATCCAAACAAAGGGATAAACAACATTCAAGCTGAATAAAGTACTAAGTCCGAAATAAAAAGTATGACAAAATGCTAAAACAACAAAAAGCTAAGACGCGGTCTACTCAAAGTCGTCGACAATCTCAACGGCTTCCTCAGGATGAACTTCGGTCGCAGAGTCTGAAAAATCCGTATCGTTTGATGAATCAGAAGAGCTCAAACCCGAGTCATCACCCGACTCATCTGCATTTGCGTCCAATTCCTCATCTCGATCATTTGTCATGCTTATAGGCGAATCCTTAAGGATCCCTTCAAGTTCGCTCACATGCTCAACAAACACCTTATCTACAAGCGATAGGCCCGCTTCCTGCTTCTTAAGGTTAACAAGCTCTTCACCAAGATCAAGCGCTTTGTCGCTCTGAAGCAAATTAACGAACTCAATGTTACTCCGGACTACAGCAAGATCAATTATGTCAAACCTTAGCCGGCCGTTGATCATTTTGATCTTCTGTGTAGCGCGATCGATCTTCGCCTTGTACTCCGCCGCCTGCTCACGCTTCACTTTTTGAACAGTCCGCTGCATAGCCGCGTCCCGAAGCTTGGCAGCAACATTAAAATGACCTTGTCAAAGCTTTGCCTCGCTGTCGCATCGATTAAGCTTTACCTCGTCATTGCATCGATCAATCTTTACCTCGCCGTTGCATCGAGCAGGCCTCGCCTCATCGTCGTGTCGATCAAACTTCACCTCACTGTCGCATCTATCAATCTTTACATCACCGTCGCATCGATAAAGTTTCACTTCGTCATCGCATCGATCAAGTTTCACTTCGTCGTCACATCGATCAAGCTTCGTCTCGAGCAATCTCATCGCTAACCTCTTCGACCGCAACTAGAACATTGGAGGAGGTCGATCTTTGTTGAACTACCAGTGTCAGAATCTGAAGAAATAACTATTCTCCTTCCGAGAAGGAAAGGATCATCGACCATTTTTCTGGAATCGTCGAAGTCTGAAGTAGTTTTCATGATGTCTTTGTCGCGCAGACAGTCAAGCTGCGAATCTATGGAATCGGATTCCTTATTTTCAATTCCGAGTTAGTGCCGATTTGCACCTAAGAGCAACGATCTGAGTTAGTGTCGCTCCACGAAGCTAGTTGTGTCATCGAATCGCAGAGTCATCGAGTTGTCAAGTCGCTAGGCCGCCGAATCATCGAATCGCTGAGTCCCCGAGTCGTCAAGTCACTAGGCCGTCGAATCATCGAGTTGCCGAGTAGTCGAGTCACGTGCCGCCGAATCATCAAATCGCAGAGTTGTCAAGTCGCTGAGCCGCCGATTCATCAAGTTACCGTGTAATCGAGTCACTGTACCGCCGAATCATTGAATCACAGAGTCGTCGAGTTGTCAAGTCACTGGACCGTCGAATCATCGAATCGCTGAGTCGCCGAGTTAAACAAAAAAAAAAGACCGAGTAAGCTCATTGAGTCAACTCGGCCAAGTCAACTCAGTCAACTCGTACGAGTCAACTCGCCCGAGATAACTCAGTGAGTCAACTCGCCACGAATCTCGAACCATCGATTTTACCTCACCTCGATCTCGGTCTCGTCTCGCCGGCAACTCGCCGTGTAGTTTGACGACACCGTGGCTCACCGGCATGCTCTTTGTCTGTCCCCTCGCCGCCGTGTGTCTCTCTCTCTTCGCGGTCGTACCCTCTCTCTCACCTCGCGACGCTGCCGGAACCAGTCGCCGACTTCGACGGAGCAGGACTTGAACAACTCTGCAGCCACTCCATCGTAAGAAACTCGCCAGAATCTCCTTCTCTTCACATCGCCAAAAACTTGAGCCATCGCGATCTCGTGGTTTTTGGTTCGACACAAACTGTTCGTAGCCTCGGAATTGCTCGAACACGAATTGCTTCGACACGATGTCGTAGTCACGATCCATCGCCGGAGATCAGGCAGAAGTGGGGAAGGACAGCGACGACTTCGACAGTAGGCGGCGGCGGTTCACGAACAGCATCGGTTCTCAAACGAAGGACGACGACCGTGGTTCTAAAAAAACCCTAAAAAAATATAATAATAAAATAAGAACGCAGAAGGAGAGATGAATTTTTACTTTTTGCGTTAAAGGAGAAAGAGAATTGGTAGAAAATAATGTCAAGGAAAGTGACTTATTTATACTCGGAAGATTTCCTAAAATCACTTTATTTTTTGGAAAATTTCCAGAAATTTTTCAGCAAACCTCATGGCCCTCTAATGCAACAAGACATCAACTCCATCAATCCTCCAAGTCAAAGAAAAAGAAAGCAAGTCCAAGAAAACACGCTGACATCGGCTCAATAACAGAAACTTCCCGAGTTCGATGACAAGACGTCCACGCCTGACAATTTCGCAGTCCAACATATCAAGTCCAGGAAAACACGCTGACATCGGTTCAACGCGGAATACCGGAAACTTCCCGAGTTCGATGACAAGATGTCCACGCCTGGCAACTTCATAGTCTATTATATCGATCTCAGACTTCCGCAACTTTTACCTTGACGTTATCGAAACTCGATACTACCAAGCTGGGGGGCTAACTGTAGGGGTCGGAGTTCTCCCCTATGAGATCGATATAACGACGAGATCAACTCTGAACCGTCCTGACAAAATCGGATCAAGACTACGAGGGCTCAGTGTGAATCTAGGCAAAAAATGATATTAGATCCATAATCAAAATGAGCTTAATGAAATAATGAGTTTAAATTAGATATATTGTTTAATGGGTCAAACTTATTTTATTCGCTGACCCACTTACTTAACACTATATATATCTCATTATATTCACCCAAAAAAGGGGTTCAGAACTTTTGGCAGAGAAACTCTCTTGTAATCACAGCTTAACATAAACAGTAATAAAGAATTCTTATTTTCAGTTTTTGTTCTAAGTGAGTCCGCGATATATAAATTTCTAATTCTTAAATATCCCTGATAAATTCAACTATGCAGATCCGATTCCCACGACTATGCAAAGCGTGTTCACGACATTAATGAGCTAAAACATAAATCCGTGGAAGCAGAGAAAAGTCAAAAGCATGGCCGGTCGTAATATTCCAAAATGGGCCTCCACGTAATTGAACCCCTAAAACATGACAATAAGTTTTAACCGAACAAATACTTTATACTTTTTGCTGTTCTATTTCTATGTGTAAAGATGCTCACATAAATATGTTAAACAATATGCAGAATGTAGAATTTAGTAATTATGGGACAATCCAGATTTTTATAGCCCAATTAATATTTAATACTCACATGGTTTTCTGGTCGATTTAAATCATTACAACTATTTCGACTGTTGAAATGGGACTAACCAATATCAAACTAATATGGGTATGATTAATGAACCAATATATATCGAAGTTTAAAGCAGAATAACAAGTATTACTCATCTTTTAAAGCAGTATAACAAACATTGCTCATCGAATTCCAGAATTGAATATTATTGGTAGTCCACAAAAACCCTTTCCCATGTAAGTGTATTTTATTTCATGTATATGTTTTATGACGTCCAACAACGAATTTTTCGTAATATTTTTTCATTAGTTAATGTATAGAAGTGAAGAAATGACAAAAAGAAGAAGAAAAAGAGTGGGTAGGTCACATGGCCATGTTTTGGTGTTGCCGTCAACAGAGAAACATTGGTGCATTTCCGCGTTTTGATGAACACGTCCGGCCCCATCCTCTCCTCTACTACTCTCCTTTGTGTACACATCTTATCTCGGTTCGATTGGTTGGTTATACTTCTACATGGTAACATGACACTAAATGTTTTTTTCTTTCTTTCTGTGTGTGATAAAAGGAGATATAGTTGATTCTTACTATTGATTCATGAAAGACTTTACAAGAGCATTTATACAAGTATAAAAGATTCTATAACTATTTAGAAAAGGTCTTTTAAAAAACATTTTTTTTTTATAGAAAAAGTATAAATATAGATATATTTAACTTCGTAACAGGCCTTCTAAAGACTAGCAGAACTAATACCAATTTTGTTACATTGAAGAACGAAGCGAACATGTGAAAAAAGTTTGGTATGACCATTAACTAGTGATTGATAGACGTAACATATGAAAAACGCAAATTTTTTAGAGTCCAGACCTTTGAAAACTCGGTAAATAAAATCAACAACATGTTTTATTCGCTAGTGAAAAACCATAAAAGACATACACAAAAAATATATTATTATCTTAATAAAAAGTGGCAATTACACATAATATGGTATTATGCACATTTTAAGTAGCAAAATAGTTCGACATTTCATATGTTTTGGAGAATAGTAAAGACTCCGGCTTAGATTTTTTTTTTTCGGTTAACACATTTTGTTAAATATAAATAGAAAAGTGTATACACATAATTTTGTTTTAAAGTAGCATTACAAATATGTATACACGTGTACAACGAAATACTTTGAATTCATTCTGCCAATGAATAATGGAATTTCTAAATAAATATCAAAAACATGAGAACTAAATAAAGTCTTACATAAGGACCATGAAACTTAAAATAAATAGTTTTAGTAGTAACTTTTTGTTTTTGAATCACATATTTAAAACATGCATAATATATAACTAAATCATGTATTAATTCACAAGTTTAATGACAGAAAACTTATATATGTAAATGAGGTCAATTTTTGTCACCTGCTAAATTTTATTTCTCCTACTTTCTGAACGGAGCATCATTTCTGAATTCTAACCCCACAGTCCGAACTTTTTTGGGTAAAGTTTTGTCTTTATTGATAATAAATTTGAAAAATAGTTTTCAGGTTTTGACAAAGCTATTAACAGTGTGCGACAATTATTCTCATTTTTATTATTTTCCATTCATATATTTAATGTTAATTGTTGGAATTGAATAATAAAAAAGTCTCAATGTTTCGTAAAGTCACACATTGATATGGAAATGATTTCTCTAATTGTCAGGATTTTTATTTGACTTGCAACTCTTTTAGAATATGAGAAACGACGTGTTTGATCACGTTGTGCACAACCTATCACACACTCCGTTGGAAGATAACTTAAATTTCTTTTTGTTATCTGTTAAAGATACAAATATTAACAAAGAAAATTACGCAAACAAGTTATGGGCTGCTGACAATAATTTCTTTGCAGATATTATAATTTATAAGGTGTAATATATCGCATTCAATTTATATATTTTATACTATAAACTATAGTACCATATTAAAGATGCATCACATTTCTTTTATACCATTTTGTCTTCGAAAATGAAAACATAATTTTCGAATAATGAAAAGGGGGATTTTGAAAAGTACCCTAAATTTTATATGGAAATTTGAAAAGTACACTTAATCTTGTAAAGTTGGAAAAATATACATTTTTCTTACGTAAAAGTACGTTAATACCCTTATACATATTTAACATGCTAAAAAACTTAAAAATAATTTAAAATTATTAAATTTAAATTCAAAATTTAGTTTTGTATTTACTTTTTATTTTTAAAAATATTTTGGTAGTAAATAAATAGCTWAAKGTTAAATTCTTTAATAAAATAAAAAATAAAGATGACTTATTTTACARAGTCGATTTATATTTTGGTTGGTTGATTTTTTACTTTGTTGATTTATTTATACAYTTGATTTATTATTTTTATGTTTGTCGACTTAATATTCAGTTTCGTCGACTTATTTTAAGCTGTTGACTTATATTTTGATTGATTGATTTTTTARTTTGTCGACTTGTTTAACCATTGACTTATTTTTTTAGTTTTGTTGATTTATTATTAAAGTTCATCGACTTATTTTAAACTGTTGACATATATTATCGTTTGCTTGATTTTTTACTTTGTCGACTTATTTAACCATTAACTTAATTTTCAGTTTTTGTCGACTTAATTTTCAGTTTCGTCGACTTATTTTTAACTGTTGACTTATATTTCGTTTGATTGACATTTTAAATTATCGACTTATTTAAACCTCTGACTTACTTTTGTAATTCGTCGACTTAAATATTTTTTTTGATCGATTTATTTTAAACTATCGATTTATATATTGGTTGATTGACTTTTTACTTTGTCGGCTTATTTAAACCATTGACTTAATTTTTATGTTCATCGACTTGACATACTATTATATATGACAAAAATTTTATTAGATTATTAGATAGATGATATATTAGTTTTACATATTATAAATCAATTTTAAATAAAAATTAAGAAAATCAAATCATTTTTTTTTCTACCTTAATCTTGTTAAGTAAGGATAGATACGTCATTTCAACCTTTAAAATAGGGTACTTTTTAAAGTGTAACAAATTTGGTATAGATTTCAAATTTTCAATAAGATTTAGGGTATACAAACCAATTTTCCCTAATGAAAATAAGGTAGCCGAATTCGGTGGCAAGCTGAAAAATTTAACTATTTAAAATGATGAAAACTAGAATTGGTGACGCAATTTTCTTCAACGAGCAAGAACATGGAAGGATCTCTCTCTCACTGTTGCATTGCTGACTTTACTCGTAGTAAGTCAGAAATTATATATTTTGTAATCAGTAAGTCAGCAATTATAACTTTATCAAAAAGTTCTTAAACAAAGTCAGAAAATATAATAGGAAAATTAACTACCGAAAGTAATTCAATCGGTTATGTATAGATATGCGTTCGAGTTCTATCGACCACACTTCGTAAGATATGGCGAATTATAAAGAGATTATTGTACGTATTAATAATGAAAAAATGATACTTTAAAGTAGAGCAAGAGAAAAACATGGGTGGGGCTTTTGGTGAACAAAATGGGGCCTGAATAGTTGATCGATGTCAGTGGCTAAGGTATCTGACTTCAGACAAACTATTTGTTTCTGCCTCAGAGTATTCGTTTTGTCTCAACAACCTTGCATTTTTTTTTCTCACCATTTAAAGAGATTTAGGTTAGTAGTGTGGTGGATATT